CGGCTGCCGGTGCGGGCCGCGACCGTGGCGGGGGGAGGCGGGGAGGGGGGACAGCGCTGGGCGGCCGCGGGGCTGCGGGAAGGGAGCTCTGTCCGCCTCCCTCCCTCTCTCTGGCGCCGAGAGGAAGCCCCGGGCGAGGAGGAGCTACTTCCTGGGCGAGGCCTGCGCTGCCGGCGGCGAGTGTGGGCCCGAGGCCTGGCCCGGCGGCGGCGGCCGCCTGAGGAGGTTTGCGGGGCCGAGCCGGGCCCGCCGCCGGCGGTTCATCCGAAGGGCCCCTAGGCGGATCAGCGTCGCCCCGCGGGCTCCCACCTGCCGCAGGGGTGTAGGGGCCCGTGAACCACGGCGGTGTGAAGCCCTGAGTGGGGCAGAATAGTGTAAATGCACACTCCTGAACTGGGAGGTGGTGATGGTCGGTGTCAGTCGTCTGAAAGCTGGAGCTGGGGTCAAGGACAGCCGGCAACAGCATGGTCAGCAGACAGGTAGCTGCTGGGAGAAACTGGCATTTCCCACACATTTTTAAGCAATACATAACCATAGGAGCTAGGAGGGTGATTATGACATGCTGTGAATAGCATCTGTAGTAGCCATAGTTTTTGCATCTTTAGATTAGATATCGTTATCCCCATGTCACAAGTTTCAGGAGCTCCTTCAGGGAATCACTGCCTAGTCTCTCCAGAAACAGGCTGTGGTTGGTCAGTTTCGTGACAAAATAGATAAACGGTTGCCCTTCCATTTCCCAAATCCCTTTACCTTCCCCCTCTCCCCCCCCCTTCCTTGCTATACATGGGAAAATAGATACAGACTGGATTTCTTAAGAGACCAAGTGCATGGAGGGCTCAGAGAAAAGACCTGCTAGTTTTTGCCTTGCATACACCTCATTTTGGCAGGGTGGGGAAGCGGAGTATGTTCTGCTCGTCTTGATCCTACAGAGGTACCTTTACTCACATGTGTCGAGTATTACACACCAGCCTTAAGCTGAGGAGCAAGAACTGTGTCCGGAAAAGCATATATTTCAATTTCAAGTATAGTTGGAGACGTTTTTAAAAACCTCAGTTTAAGACAACTGATACTTTACGAGTCCTCACATCTAAAATTGCTTAGATCTATCTGCCTGTGCCTTCATTTCACCCAGGGAAACTGGTGGGGTTTGTGCTGTTTCACCACAGATCAACCTTGGTCTCTTTTCCCAAAACTTCAGTGTTGGTCAGTCACTACCCAAAGAGCTTGCCACCTTTATTTGCAGAATTTCTGGAGGACCATTTGCTGCTCATGAAAACGTGCAGGCACTGACTCCAGCTTCTTGCAAAGGCAGGTAGCACCAATGCTTAAGAGCCATTTGAGTGTGAATAGGACTCTGTCCTTATGGCTGATACGCTGTTACAGGAGCTAGTACTGTTTTTTCTGGATATACTGACCATTTTCAGCCCTCTAGAAGAGAGAATTTTTGTGGTTCTGAAACTGAAAGTGATTTTCCTTCTCCAACAGGACTCCTTTGCATTGGTAAGAGAAGTAAAAACCTACCAGGGGTTGATCCTTCTAACTTACCTACCCGGTTCCTGGTACAGTGCTACCTCTCACTGCTCGACCTACTGTTGGATGGAAAGAGAAGAACCACCCAAACTGCCTGGAACAGCTCCCTGGTGCCAGAAGAGACCAGTCTGCTCCCCCAGCCACCCCGACAGCCAGAGTGCCCATTCCCAGGCGTGTGAGAGCACGAGACCACCCCTCTCAGCAGTAGCTGGTCATTAGATCAGCTCTGCTGTGGCAGACCCATATCCTAGGGGACACCGACAGCTATAGGAAGAATGCCTGTGACCTACAGACGGCCTTTCATTTGGGGCAGTGTATCCACTGTTTGGGTTTTTTTGTTTCTCTTTTTTTAAATACATGCACAAAACAAGGTGCCATCACCAAGCACCATATGGGGCTCAAATTCAGAAGTGCTCTATTTTTTAAGCTACAACAGAAAAACATTTATAAAATAACAACGTCACAAAATTGTTCAGTTTGAATGAAAACCGAGTGATAATGCATTTCACATGCACCTAGTTTTCACGCGCTTTGGAATTTTGAATTGACTGGAATTTAATGCTTTTGATTAAACAAAAACCACAATACCCTTTTTCAGCTGTCATGCAAACAGTGGCGTTGTTTGTCACTCAGGTGATGCCATGATTTGAGCCGGTACACAGTGATACGGTTAATGTACCAAACTGAAGTTGTTGCCATAGCTCCACTGTGGGACAGCACAGATCAAACAAAAGCCTTTTTCATGAATGCTAGTTCAATCCTGACATTCATCTCTGGCCATAACAAGAATGCATCTGTTTCCTGCAGCACAGCATAGCAAGCATATTTAAATGCTGCAGGGGAAAAAAAGGGGGAGGGGGCAAGGGATGCGCTTTGCTTTGGAAAAGAAAAATAACCCAGCAAGATTTGGGACTTCCTCTGCTAAATGGCTTTAGCACAGCAGATTACTTTGAGCTGATCTTTAACCTTCTTCGGGACATTCATACAACAACAACTTGGCATGACCTTTGCTCAGTTGTCTTTTAAGTACGAGAAGTGGGAATTCTGCTGTGGAGTTCAGAGCTACCCAAGGCTCTCTCAAGGAAAGTGTGGTAGCTGCAGAGAGAAGTGCAGGAGAAGCACAGTAACGACGATGGTAGGCAGCCAAAAACACGGTACAGAAGAGGAAGCTCAGGAAACTCCCAGATTTCAACGAAAGGTGACAAAGATGCATTTTCCGTGTTGTTTTCTTAGAGCTGTAATTTAAATACGTAAGCCATGAATAGAAAATATTGCAAACTATTGCAAGAGCTCCAGGGTAATATAAACAGTAGTATATGTTAACATATGAAAGCACAAATGGACTACAGTATCAAACCTAAGTTAAAAGGACCAAATAATTACTGTATTGGGGATTATTCTTGTCTTCCGTTTTATGTCTAGGATCTGTCTCAAAGACAGCAGGAAAAAAAGTTGAAACTCTCAGAATCAGGCATTATACACTAACCTTGTGGTTGATAATTTTTTTTTACGATGAAAAAATCTGTTGAAACTAAGAGGGGTGTCATAAGAAACAGAATGCGAGTAAACCACAAATTATAGCAGAAATAGCAAATTCATCAGAGTACCTAAACATTACTATATTATTGTTAAGTACAGACTGTCTTTGTGGAGAATCGTATGTGTGTGTCTGTGTGAATGCTAGCACTCAGGATATGAGTGTATATGCTTTTTGTGTATGATTCCTGCAAATGGGAGTATTTAATTCTCTTACTTTTAATCCTTATATTGCTCTGAATTAATTCATGTTACTGCTTAATTAACTTAAAGTTTTACATAGAGTATGATCCAGCTCTTTGACTACTTTATTTCAGCAGCTGCTAACTGAACTATGTTATTCATGTGACCGTTCAACATTAATTAATTAAACTACTACAACCTTTATGGGCTGTATAGGGGACTAAACTCCTGAAGGAGCACAGATTACATAAATTAAAAATCAATAATCTCAAATTATTACTTACCAAGAGGCCTTTGTTTTCAAAATTCTTCACAGGTAGTTAACTGATAGAAACATGCAGAAACAGGTGCTTCTCCATTAGTTTGTCAATAAAGATGATAATGCAAACATTTATATTCAAAGGATAGGTTCCTTGCTTACCAGGCATGTAAATGCCTTTTGTTCACTGCACAGCTCTTTTTAATTTCCTACCTGAGTTACCTGCTAACATGAGGATGAAGAGAATAAAGTCGCTATTAGGATGTTAAGGCTCTGAAATGCAGATGTGAAATGGAAAATAGAACAACACGTTAATTTCCATTCTGACAGAAAAAAAGTCTATGGAATGAACATTTAGAGCTACTTTTTTTTTTTTTTTTTTTAAATAAAACCCTCTAACATTAAATTCTGATTGCCATTAAATTATAGTGAATCCTAGTAACTACCAGAATTGGTGGAATTACACTCTCTGGAACACAGAGCAGAATCAAATCACTTGCTTGCCTAATACAATATTCCTATTCAAGCCTAGAAGAAAAATACAAAATATTATAATATAAATTTAAGAGGGAAGACAAGCTAGAGCAAACTCACAGAGAATGAGCCCTCACATAATTATAATGTCTAAGAATTAAATCTAATGCCGCTGGTATTCAAGAGCATACAGCTATTGCCACAGCATGAAAGTCTCTGTTTTAACTACTTTCAGCGCTCTCTCTTTACAATCGCACAAAACCGAACAATTAATGTATAGGCAGAACATTATTGCAGAGAGGCTGTTAAATTGCAAGGCCTGGCTGCAGATCAAACACGCTTCCACGGGTGAATACTCTCAGCTTTCACCGTTTCACGGCCCTTCAGCAGGAAGGAGGAAAGCGTGACAATATGCTGCAAGGTCTAGTTTGTGATCTTGACACCTCCCCTTGGCTGTGCTGGTGCTGGTGGAGGCTGGGCTCACAGCCTGGGGAAGCAGCAATGGCCCAGCATGGCGAGGCCGACAGGACAGTCAGGGCCCAGTGCCCCAGCCCCTGAGGAACACGAGCAGAGCAGCCCGGGGATAGGAGTCAGGGTCAGCCCAGAAGCCAGAGCAGAGAAATCTATGTGATGAGGCCGTCCCCAGAGGCTGCCAGGTGGGCTCTGGCAGGAGGGTTCACTCAGGAGCCGAGGGCTGGCCAGCATGGTGAGGACACCCAAGTCCAAGGTCAGGCTGATGACTTGGGAGGAATTGCCAGAGAAGTCCAGTTTTGGGCACCTCAATACAAGAGAGATATGGAGGTGCTGGAGCGAGTGCAGAGGAGGGCAACGAAGCTGGTGAGGGGGCTGGAAAACAAATCGTATGAGGAGCGGCTGAGGGAGTTGGGGCTGTTTAGTATGAGGAAGAGGAGGCTGAGGGGAGACCTCATCACTCTCTACAACTACGTGAAAGGACACTGTAGAGAGGTTGGTGCTGGTCTCTTCTCACAGGTAATTAGTGACAGAACGAGAGGGAATGGCTTCAAGCTCCAACAGGGTAGGTTTAGATTGAACATTAGGAAAGAATTTTTCACCAAAAGAGTGATAGGGCATTGGAACAGGCTGCCCAGGGAGGTGGTGGAGTCACCATCCCTGGCTGTGTTTAAGGGCCGTTTAGATGCAGTGCTAAGGGACATGGTGTAGGGGAGGACTTTGTAGAGTAGGGTAGATGGTTGGACTCGATGATCCCAAGGGTCTCTTCCAACCTAGACAATTCTATGATTCTATGATTCTAAGACCCCACAGAGCCATGGGCCAGCTCCAGCTGTGCTTGTCTCAGTGCTTAGGGAGGCCTGAGCTAGCTGTCAGGATGCAGCAAGGGTCAACTGTTCCCTAAGGACAGGGAGATGATGATATGCTATGGCTGCTGGGGTAGGGACCTTGCCACCCAGGGCCTCATCCCACAGCCCCCAGGCGAGGTGAGCAGGGCAGGCCCAGCCAAGAGTCAAGGTCATCAAACAAGATTTCAGACTTGCCTCATTACCACAGGCAAGCCAGAAACACAAGTTAGGGTCAGGTCCAGTGATAACAACATGGGTCAGACACAAGCCCAGCAATCACCAGGCAAGTCCATGGTGATGAGGCAGAGCAGGAAGTCAGTCCATGGGTTGAGGTCAAGATCAAGAGGGTCCATGGCCAGGCTCAGCTGCCACACACCTGGAGCCACCCACAGCATATCAAGCATGGACTGAAGGCCTGGGGTTGAACTGAAGTGAGGCTCTTTGGCCCTTGGGCAGCAGGATATAGAGACACCCAAGCTGAGGGTGGTCAGGGTTATTAAAGCCTATTAATGCATCCAGGACATTGACACAGATCCTAGGTTAACCTAATTGCATGTCCAGAGCCCTTCATTTATTATAACAAAATCTTACACACTGAATCACTTTCCACCTTTATGTTAGCTCTTATTGTATCATTAATATTTCACTGTGCAAGGGCAGCGAAAACACAGAAGTTTAGCTGTTACTAAGGGTCACTAATTCTCTCATTCTTACATGTATTTTTCAAGAACTCATGACCTGCTTAGAAATTATTTAATCCACAAGTAACAATACAGAAACTGGGAAAAGATGTTCCACTTACTTTCCCTCTCATCTTTCTACCTTAACTACTTGCTCAATTTTTTCTACCTGTCCCAGATTCACTGAGGCTCTTACACCATCAGCATTCTTCCCCTTAAGACCACAGCATAAATCGTTTTGTCATCTTGCTGTAGCTAGCTTGTCTAAGTGTGGGATCTTAGAATAATTCAGGTTGGAGGGGACCTCTATAGATCTCTAGCCCTCCCCCTGCTCGAATCAGGCCCAGACAGAGCAGATTGCTCAGGCTGTGTCCAGTCGAGGATGGACTACCTCAAAGACGAAGGCTCCACAACCTCCTGTTTCATGCATCAGGACAATCTATGGAGTACCTCTACCTTCTCCCTCTCCCCCGTCTCTATCTTTATGCTCCACAAGCCTTCTAAGAAGGCCACTTCTGGCAATTGTGAAGCCCCACTCCTTGAGTCATCCAAAGGTGAAAAGAACATGCCTGACACACCAGCCCATACCACCTTTTAAACACAGTAGAGATCCCACAGAAATGTCAGTGCTTTTTTGTGCTTGAATATGGGAGCAAGTGACAGTAATCTCATTTCAATATCATACCTGAGCAAACAGTGACAAATTAGTCCTAGAATTTTCATAGCATGGCAAGTGCACATAGGTAAGGTTTGAGAAGTTTACTGAAATTATTCAGTCAAAAGATTAATAGTTTTATTGACTTACTTAAAGATAGGTAGGGATTCATATGAGTCTGGCAGCTTGGCTTTTGTGCTTAACTACATAAATCCAGAAAGCATATGAGGTTTCTTCTCCCTTTCTTGTAGTTGACTCTTTACAGTCTGCATCTTATCTTCCCTCATACCTGACCCAAATTTACATTAATCTATCAAAAAAATAGCAAATGTAGCCTTTGACTAAATGAAGTTCAAGGTTTTGTTTTTTTTAAAAAGTTGTTTTGTTGCCCTGTTTTTCAAAGTAAAAAAACCCAAAATATCTGCAGAGTATTCTCAATCTCTTTTCCAGAAACAGCTGCATTATGCTGGTGGAAGTTGTCCATAGCTGCTTAGTGGGTAGAAGACCCCCAGCTGGTAACACGTCAGATCAAAAGTTTCAAAGGTGGCAAAGTTATAAGCAGCTGAAATCAGGGTCAAACAATCCTAATAACTAGTAAAAGCTACACTAGCTGGCAGATAATCATTTTACAATGTATAAGTACATGCTTTATTTTAAATAAAGTGTGTATCTCTGCCCAGATTGTGAAAAACTCCAGTTATTAAGTTTTTGGTACCAAAACTATTAAACATGAGCCCCCAACAATCACTTGAATGCAGTTTACAGTGAAGGCATTTGTGGCACTTGCATGAAAATTTGACAAATGGGAAGATAAAGGTTTACAAGAACAATGGAGAGATATAAAAATATTGGAAACTTATAATACTGGAAAAGATAGTGTAACAGAATACTGAAGATCAGTCCAAGAAGTTTGAAATTGAGCTGAGGGAAAAAGAAGGCACCAGACAGATTGAAAATGGGTAGAAGTGAGTGCAATACAAATAAGTGCAAGAAAGGCAGCCTTAGCTTTGTGTGGATTTAAGGGGATTGGAGTGCATATCTAGAAAGCCAGAAGAGGGGAAAAAGAAAAAGGAGGGATAACAACATAGTTTA